AGAGCGGGCACTCCACCTCCTCCGGGCCCGGGCCGCCGCCCTCCACCGCCTCCTCATCCTCGAACCCGGGCCCGGCCTCCGCCGCGGCCTCCGCCTCCGCCTCGGCGGCCGGCTCGGTGGGCAGAGCCTCGGGCGGCGGGGCCTGGGCCGCGACCGGGACCGGAGCGGGCGGCGGCGGCGGCGCGGCCGGGGGCGGCGGCTCGGCCTGCGGCTTGGCCCGGGCGCGGCGGCCGCGGGCCGAGGCGGAGAAGACACTGTGGAAGGTGAGGCGCCGGCGCCGGCCGCCGCTGCGGCACTTGGGGTCGGGCGCGGCCGCGTGTAGAGATGTAGAGCGCGGCGATTCGGAGTCCTTCTCAGAGCCCATGGCCCCCAAAGGCCGAGGAGCGAGGGGCGCCCAGCGCCGCCACAGCTCCCGCCTCAGCGCCCCCTCAACCGGCGCCGCGACCGCCGCCGCCTCTGCCGCCCTCCCCGAGATAGAAACAGAGCTGCCGCGTCGAAGTGGTTATAAAGCCTCCGCCCCGCGCGCCGCTGCCCACTGCGCAGGCGCTTCGCTGAGACACCTCACAACCCGCACCGCCCCCCACCCCGCCGCGCGGAAGGGGGCGGTGTTGGGCGGGGCCGAGAGGGGTGGGGCCGGGCGTGCTGGGGCGGAGCTCCGCCTCCTCCCGGTCATGGGGTTTCAGAGCAGCCATCTTGAGCAGGCACCATCCCAACTGCTTTTGTTGGCGTCTTCTTGGAGTTCCGTCACCCTGACCGTCTTCATCCCCAGGATGGAGATTTCGGTTTGCCTTTCCTCGTGGACAGGCTGATTGCCCCTTATAGTAAATGATGCTGAGGTTACTTCATCTGTAAAACATAGGCAAGGATAGATCACATGGTGATTCCCAACTGGTCCACTTTCCAACACTTCTTGTTGTTTAAATTAACAGCATTAGTTAATAAAGAATAGAGTCATTAAACATCTACAAAGTGAAAGCATTACTAGATAAGACAAACAGGGTCCTCTATCAGCAAGGGATTTACAGAATAAAGCCCGAATTCCTTAATCTAGCATTCAGTGCTTTCTCTGAACTAATAAACCGTATTGCCAGGCCCATCTCCCACTCTATCCTCCTGTTGGCTAGGTTATTTACAATTTGTGGAAGGAGGCCTAGCGCTTTTTTCCCCCTGGAAGTGTCTTCCTTGTGCTATAGACAGGCTTCCTGATGGGAGGCAAACATGCAACTATAGCAGCAACAGGAATGGTCCATTAGGGTTGGGTTCAGTTGCACAAAACTAAAGAAAAAAAAAAACTTAAAATAGAAATTTCTTTCTTTTCTTCTTTCCCCTCCCTCCCTTTTTCCCTCCCTCCCTCCCTTCCTCTTTCTCTCTCCCTCTCTCTTTCTTTCTTTTTCTTTCTTGATTTCATTTGACAAAAAGAAAGAGCACAAGCAAGGGGAGTGGATGTGGAGCTCAATCCCGGGACCCTGGGATCATGACCCCAGCCGAAGGCAGATGCTTAACTGACTGAGCCACCCAGGCGCCCAGAGATTTATTTCTCTCTTCACCAAAAAAGGAGGTAGGAAGTCCAGGGCTGCTCTGGTACACTTAGCACTTGGTTTCCAATCTTCAGGTCACCTCATTATGTTCCACCTTTGGAAGCAGGGAGGAGAAAGGGGGAAAATTGCACCCACTCTTTTTAAGAGAGGGCCTTGGAAGTCCAACACATTTTTGCTTACATTTCATTGGCCAAGAGATAGTCCCATGGCTATACTGAGAAATGTAGTCTTTTGATTAGACACAAAGTACCCAGCTAAAAATAGGGGCTCTGTGATTAATAGAGAATGGTAGAGTGGATTCTGGAAGGTACCAGATGTTTTTCTCATGGGTGGCATGTAAAACCACAAGAAAGTTCCCCAGGAATAAGCCCTAAGAAACTTCAAACTTTTGAGGTAAAAAAGTGAAAGAGGAGACAGCAAGCAGGGGCTGAGAAGGAGGGGCTGTGAGAGAAGAAACACCAGGCAGGTGTGATGTCACAGATCGCAAGATAACATGTTTCCAGGGGGAATGGTCGATTGTGACAAAGGCTGCTGAGAAATCAGGAAAGAATAGAGAAGTGACCACTGGATTTGGCAAAACCATAGGAGGGGTAATGTTTCTCCTCAAATAGGGAGGTTTGATAGTTGATGGTTAAAACAATTAATTTCTGTATATTGGTCAGAATAGGCTAGGCTTTTTTGAAGTAACAAACAACCTAAATAGCTCAATGGCTTAACATAACAATAGTCTATTTTTTCCTCACTCAAGCAAAACTGGATATGGGTTCAAGGCACTTTCCAAGATACATATCCTCTACTCCACTGGGTAACTTAGAGATCCAGGCTCTTCCATCCTCGCCTCCACAACTTCCACACAAGGCTTTCAGGATTGTCTCAGTAAGGGAAAATTGTTGGAGGGTTGTGCCCTGGCAATTAAATATTCCTGGAAATGGCACTCATTACTTTTGTTCAGACTATTAATTGGAACTCGTCATATGAACTGCAAGCAACAGAGGTAGGAATTGTAGGGGGGATCCATGGACTAGTTAGAAAGCAATATTATCAAAGCCACAGTTCCCTGTAGTTATGTTTTACTCTATCCTTAATGCCACATGTCCTGATCAGCTGCAGTGCCCCCTTCAAGAAGGTGTGTGCCCGTGGCGGGGACAAAGGGTCGGGGAGAGGGCTGCCTTGTTCCTTGGGTCAGATTGTGTTGAAGGAGATAGGGATCCCCTGATTCCAGGCAGACCCAGATAGCTTTTAGATGACTCTCCCTGCACAGCTGTCAGAATCCACACTTGCTGAAAAGCTCAATACACTGAATGCTTGTCTTGGCACTGGCACCCAAACAAACTGCCTCAGCTCTAAGCTGCCACCATCCATGTTTGGCAGAGAGCTGACCTCTCATAAATGCCATTGAACTTTGCAATGGCCCCATTTCTACTGGGTTTTTTTCCCTCCTGGATCCTTCACCCTTGAGTTGAGGGACTAAAGCAATTCCTCCCACAATATTTTTTTTTCTCTGTGTCCCCACTTGGTTGAAACTGAGTAGTGACTCAGGGAGATGGCATGAGAGAAAGACGGGTTCTTACTCATCTATTCATCCGTTCAGTAAACATTTAGGATACTTTGTGTGAGGCTGTCAGACACAAGGGTCATGGAGAGGAACACTGTCGCCTGATGACGGTTACAGACAAGAATGCGGGTCATTTGGATACTGGGTGACAAAGACATGTACAAAAAAGAAGGTATGTACAGAGGAAGGCATGGCAAGACTTGTGGTCAGGGCTGGCTTTCCAAGGAAGAGCCCTTTGAGCTTGGTCTCCATGGTTGAGTAGGAGTTGACATTTGTAAGTAGGGGAAAGGGCAGAGGGAGTCTGGAGGAGAGGCACGGGAGGAGACACAGGATTGGTCTGAGGAAGCGTGGGCAGCGGGGCATGACAGGAGTAGAGGATGTCTGAAAGGATGTGAGAGAGAAGAGAGAATGGAAAGTTTCTGTGTTAGGGCTCCATCAGATGCAAGGAAAAGAAGCCCAACGTGAACTGGCCTATGCCAAAAAAGGCCATATTCTGGCTCATGCAACCCTTTGAGACAAGTACTCTAGCAACCGGGCCCAAGGACCAACCCTATCCAGGGAGCCACCTGCCTTCCTCCAACTTGCAACTTTGCTTGTCTGCCTGGCAGCTCTTCCTCCTCCTTCTCCTCCTCCTTCCTCTTTGAATTGTGGTCAAGTGCACATTATACAAAATACCATTGTAACCAATTTTAAGTGTGTGATTCAGTGACAAGTATATTTACATTGTTTGTGCAACTTCCAGCACCACCATCCATCTCCAGAACTTTTTTTTATCTCTCAGATTGAAACCCTGTACCTAGGAAACAATAGCCGTCTCTTCTCCCTACCTTGGTTTTTCAGGCCACTCGCCTCTCCAGGCTGGAACTGTGCCCAACAGCTATCCCCAGCTCACGCCTCCTAGCTTCCTAACCAGAGAGATGAGAAATTCTCTTCCCTTTGTTCCAAATCCTCCAAATCCTTCAGGAGGATTCTGATTGACCAGGCTTGGTCACATGGTCACTCACAGCCTTGATCGGGGGCATGGGGTGCCCAAATTGATAGTCCCCACCTGGACCAGATGGTTGGACCAGGAGAGGAGCAATTCTTGTGTTTTCAGAAGAAGGAAGGGGCCAAACATGACCAAGTGAAATATGAACCATTCACCAGAGGTAGGTTGGGGCCAGGTCATTAGAAGCCTTGACCACCAAGCTGAGGACTTCAGCTTTTATTCTGTTAGGTAGCAGGGCACTGTGGGAACATTTTGATCAAGGAAAGCAATATATACAAGAAGTTGGTCTGCAAAATCTGCTCTTTCTTTATTTGAGGCTCTTGTTTTGAGCTTTCTCTTGCCTTTCAAGGTTATTCTGAAAGCTAATTTTAATTGGATGTCACCTGAATACTGACTGGGCCCCAGCTCCTTCCCCTGGCCTCAGAAGTGACCTCTACCTCTTATAACCCCTACTCTTTCCCTCTGGATCAAGACTGGTGAATGCCACAAATCCACTGTGGGTCGTCTTCTGTCTCCGGGTTTCCTGGCCCTCCCTTCTCCCTACCTGCTTCAGTGAATGGCCTCCCCATTCAGCTGGAAGTTCTCCTGCCCCTGGTCTGTCCTCCAACCCCCACATCCAAGTCCAATTTACCTCTAAAGTGCTTATAGAACCTTACCTGGCTACAGACCTCATTATTTCTCTTGCCTGGACTTTGGCCCCAGCCCCTCAATTGGTCTCTTTTGCAAAGCCACCAGCTCATGCCAATCCCTTCTACAGTTCCCACTGCCAGTCCCATCTCCTGCCATGCTTCTTAAAATAGAGCTATTTGGCTCTTTTTTTTTTCTTAAAATAATCTCTGTACCCAATGTGGGGCTCAAATTCATGACCCCGAGATCAAAAATCACATGCTCTACCAACTGAGCCAACGAGGCACCCCTGAAAAATATGAGACACTTCACAAATTTCCATGTCATCCTTGCATAGGGACCATGCTAATCTTCACTGTATTGTTCCATTTTTAGTGTATGTGCCACAGCAAGCACCATTGGGCGTTCTTGATCTAAACATATTCCAGATTACCAAGTTTTGTCTCCTTTGCTGGTCCCTCTGCCTGTTATGCTTTTCCTATCTCTCTTCACTTGGTGTAATCTCTTGCATACTTCCAGGCTCATTTCCATGGTCACAGCCATCTTCCCTCCAAATCAGCCCCACCACGCCCTCACCTTTGTGTCTCCCTGGCACAGTGGGGATAACTCTAGTGTCACACCTATCACTAGGATGACCACATAATTTATGGTGCAAACACAGGACACTGCTGAGGATGAAAGGGAATGCTAAGATTAATTGCCCTAGTTCAACAGGTGTCAGCTAGTCTGTTCCAGGCAAAGTAGGAGGCAAGGTTACCCACCTACACCCCGCATTGTTGTAAAACCTGCCACTTAGCGTTTTCATTTATCTCATTCATATCTCTCACTCCTTTTAGACATTACTGTTATCTCCCATTTTTAAGATGAAAATTGGAGCCTCAGAGAGAGGAGAGACTTGTGGTCACACAGCCAGAAGGAGGCAAGGCTGGCCTAGGAAGCCAGATCTTTCGAGTCTAAACCTTGGACTCTTCAGACTCTGGAAGTCATTGTATGCTACCACACCTGACCCCTCCAATGCGAGTCTTACTGTCTAGGTTGGTCATGTGTGGATCCCTCCAGATGAAGGGGGAAGGTAGAAATGGTGTCTTGTTCATCTTATGCACCAGCTCTGCTCAAGGGCTAGTCTAGAAGGCCACAGTGCATGTTTGTTAACATGCATAGATGATTTCTTTTCTTTTTTTTTTTTTTAAGATTTTATTGACAGAGATCACAAGTAGGCGGAGAGGCTGGCAGGGGTGGGGGGCTGGGGCGGGGAGGAAGGCTCCCTGCTGAGCAGAGAGCCCCACTAGGGGCTCCATCCCAGGACTCTGGGATCATGTTCTGGGCAGAAAGCAGAGGTTTTAACCCACTGAGCCCCTGAGCCATTGAACCACTCTGGTGTCCCGATGATTTCTTGAGGATAAAATTGTGTGTCTCATCTTAAAATCTGTGTCCCCCTTTACACTTAGTACCTAGCACAGAACTAACCATACAGCTATTCATTTAATAACATTTTACCAAGCACCTACTCTGTGCTGTCCTGTGTTGGTGATACAATGATGAGCAAAAAGACGAGGTCCTTGTTCTCATGGAGCCTACTGTACAAAAAAGATCACAAACGTATCAGCAAGAATTGGGATACATGCTAAGAGAAAATACTGAATATTGAGGTTTAAGAAATATTTTGGAGGTAAATTTAATAGGTTTCAGTCATAGATTTGATGGGGGACAGCAAGATGGACATGGCTATCATGTTTTTGCTTAAAACAGAGATGGGGACACAAAGAAGAAACAGTTTGGGGGAGAAACTGGCTGGTTTAGAAGCGTGGCGCTTGAGGTGTCTGTGGGATTTCTATTTGAATCTTCCCTACGTCCAGCCTATTAACTGATTTCCCCAAAGCTGCAAAATCGTGGCAAGTAACAGAAACCTGCCTCAGCCAGTCCTAACAAAGCTGGCCTTCAAGTAGCACAGTAGGAAGAGGGACAGGTGGGGGAAGGCAGGAGAGAAGCAGAGAAGTGATGTGTTCACGGAGACAATAATCAGACCTCCCAAGCTGCAGTGAGGACTGCGGCGAGAAGCCAGGAAGCTGGCAGCGTTTAACAGGGAAGGGGGAGCGCAACTCCCTCCCTACCCTGCTCTGCGCTGGGCCCGAGCATCCCCTGCGCGCGGGAACAAGGGAGGGAAGGCTCTGTGCATGGAAACCCGAGCAGCCCGGCAGGATCGGCTGCGGGAAGGCCAATCGGACTGAGGCTGGTGGCGGCGCCACGTGACCGGCCTCCTTCCCCCACCCCCTTCTCCGGCCTTCCAGGGAAGACCGGCATCCCCGCCACCCTCCCGCCCCCGCCCCCGCCCCCGCCCCTCGCGTGCCGCAGCGGCGCGGGGGGAGCGAAGGCGAGGGGCCGGGATTCCGCCGCAGTCTGCTGCAGCACAGGGGTGGGGAAGGGGAGGAGGCGAGCTCTTTGCAGCCGCAGCGCCCGCAGTGTTTTCCGTCAAGGTCAAGCGTATCCATTCCTGGGCAACCCAGTCTCTACACTTCCATCCTCCGAGCCATTCCCACCGCCGCTGCCACGCGCCTGGCCGCAGCATCTCTGCTCCTTTTGGACCACTGCCTCAGCCTCTCGCTGGGTTTGCTGCGGGGATAGGCGGAGGGGTGGGGTAGGGGGGAGAGGCGGCGTGATGGGAGGGTTTCTGTACATCCTGCTCTTGAGCTTCTCAGCTTCTTTTGTCATACGCACACCTCATGCTGTGCCCCTGCTCCGAATCCCGCACTGGCTCCCAGTGTTCCGTAAGAGATCACTTAGGGCCTTCAGAACCAAGACCCAGGTTAACCCTTTCCAGCCCCACCGTCCCCTCTCACCAGAGACCCAGTCCCTCCGGATCCTTTGCCCTTCCGGGAACAGTCATCGCTTGCCTGCTTAAGTGACTACTGTTGGTGTGTCTTCTGCTGGGGTGCCCTTTGTGTATCTAGCAAATTCATGGACCCAATCTGATTTCAATAATGCAGGGGAGGGTGGAAACCGGTCTTGAAATGCCCTTTAGCAAAGGTCACAAAGTTGAAAGCCTACAGGGATCAAGCAGGCGAAGTAAGGCCAGTGGACAAGGGCATAAGAAAAACCTGTCTGAAGGGCGGGGATACTGCTCTCCATTCAGGGCAACATGCTCCTTGCGGGGGTGGGGGGGGGGGGGGGGGGGGGGGGGGGGGGGGGGGGTCGGGATGTGAGTCCTATGATGCTAGATATTATGAGTTTACAAGAAAAGGCACAAATCCAGATTTTCATGTGTCATCTCTCAATTTTTAAATGTTGATTTGATTTTTTTTTTAATCCCTGTGGGCCAGATAGAATCCCTGTAGATCCTCAGCACGTGACTTCCTGTCCTAGCAAAGAGAATGACTTTCGTAGGAAAAATACTTTGAAAAAATGTTGAAGGTGAAGTTTTGCTCTTGAAGCTCTGAGAGGCAGCTGCTGTGGAGGCAACAAGGAGTGGACTAGGATTTGAATTTGTTCCTAAAATGGCATGAGATGTTTTAAGCTACTGAGCACCAGAGAGAATCTACCAGAAACTGGAGGACTGGGTTTGGGAAACAGGCAGGAACCAAGGGTGGAGAGTAGGGTGGAGGCCAGTGGGCAGCCAGCAGTTAGCCAGGGTCACCCACCCACCAGCATCAACCACCATGAATGATTACAAACATTTCTTCCCATCCTTGTGGGGGCTTCCTGAAGGCCCAGGAAGCACCCTGCAGAGCTTTACTTGTGGGGGTGGGGTGGGTGGGTGAGGGGGAGATAGGAGGGGAAGTCAACCCCACCCCCACCCCCAACCTCTCAGGCTTCACACAGTGGGATAATGCTCGGAATGGAAATTTGAGAGCTCCTTAGGAAGAGAGAATTAGAGATGGTAGCCAAATTTTGGCAACTGTCCCAAGGCTGAGGGTCTGGCGACAACAGGGAAGATAAGGCTGAGGCCATCTTGGGAACCAGGTTACTCTTAGTTCACCCTGAGGCTTTTTGTAGCTATGATGTGATCCCCTTCTCTGTCTCCCATCTCTGGAAACGTTAAAAAAAAAAAAGTTTCTGATACTCACTGAGCCTGCCTTGACTGCGGTGTTTGTAGAACTAGTAGAAGGGGCCAAGTTTTACATCTATTCTGGTATAGTGTTGACCAAAGACAGTACGGGCTGAAGCCAGAGCTGGATCAGGAGAAATCAAATCGCACAAGAATTTGCAGTAATCTTGGAGAGGGCTTTGCAGTAGTTACTTGGGCTTATCCTGTGAAGACCTCAAGGGGTCAGGAGGACCTTGGCTGACATGACAATAACGGAGAACAAGCTACCATTGACTGGGTGCTTACTTGTGCCAGACACTAGGCTACATAAATACATTACCTCTTTTCTCCCTGCAGTGATTGCATGAGAGAGTCATACTCTCTCCTACGAGACTATCATTATAGTTCCCATTTTACAGATGAAGAAATTAAGGCCCAGAGAAGTGAAGGGACTTGCCCAAAGCCACAGAGATAGAAAAGTGGACCAACCTGCTCTCCAGCCGATTGCCACCCCCGCCCCACCCTCAAAAGAAATTGTCATCATGTTTGCACTCACCAAGCACACAGTGGGTGCTGAGTACATGTTAAATCGATTCATCTAAGGAAGGCCAAAAGCAGTGCCCTTGACTGTCAGATCTCTATGCCCTTGGGCAAGTCATACACCCTCTCTAGGCCGAGGTTCCATCTGTGGAATGAGAATTATAATATGGACCCCAGGACTATTGTGGGATTTACACGAGACCAAGTCATAGAATCTCTGTAACTTGCCATACATCCAGCAGCTGTTGCTGCTAAAGATGAGGACAGTGGGGAATGAGGAAGGAGCAGAGAAGGAAACCAGGATCTGGAAGTACCAGCACTCTATCAGCTCAGATGGGAAATTCTCAGGAGGCCCCGCCAGTTTGCAGTTTCTAAGATTACTGTGTCTTTATTCGTTCATCATTCCTGGAACATTTACTGTGTGCCAATGCTTGATCTCATTTCATTAAAAACTCTGTTTCAGTGTGCTCCCAGCTCAGGTGGCCATCCTGAGGACAAGGCCATCTCACCTGCAGACACAAGCCATGTGTGAGTCTAGGGAGCTCCTTCCGGTTCTGTTCCGGCCCTGGTAGTGGGTGGCAGCGAGCACAACTGCTGGCCTGGCCACAGATTGTGCGCCATCGGGGCTCCCAGGGGCCCTGAGGTGTGTACCAGCCAGCCCTTCCTCACCATCTGTGATGACACCAAGCCTGCAGCAGCGACCATACCATCTACAGGACTGCCTACCGCCGCAGCCCTGGGCCAGCCTCTGCTCTGCCTGCTGGCCTGGCTGGAAGAGGACCAGCAGGCTCCCCAGGGCTGGTGGAGTAGCAATATGTCAGCCACCCTCCCGGGA